TTCAACACTTGACCGTTTTGCATTCGCTCGAACTATTTCGGTTTGCTTTTGCACATACCAAATATTACAAATTATTCAAATGGGTTTTTCATTCAATTTTTCTTTTTTCGTATGTTCGTTTGTCATTCTCTTGTATTCATTCGATGTAGTATCTCTTTGCGTGTATTTGTAGCACGTTCTCTGTGGCCTCATCAATAAGCACAGCGTGCCATTTTCTTATCCCGTGTGAATTAATTGTGTGTCAGTTTTCCGCTCACTCTTTTTACCTCGCTCTCACTTCTTTTTTTATTGTCCGTTTCACACAGTCTCGCCTGCACCAACAACCGACCATTATACATACACGCTCACTCTCGTTACGATTTAATTGTATGACCAATGGAATGCGTTGTTGTGTAAAATGTTGTTAAATTAGACGAAACAATTCCCCGAATACAAACAGAAAAGGATAGCAAAGAAAAAAATATACATGACCAAATACTACACTTTCGAAATGAATTTTCTACGTTTCAAATGAAAACGGAAATGTAATTTTCTCTTTCTTTCTGTATCTATCTCCGCTTGGTACACACAAACAAATTGAAATCCTTAGCAACAATTAAATACGAAAATACACCAAAACACAACAACACAAGCAATTTCGAACCACAAAAATGTTTTCACATTAAATGCAATTAAACCAGAACGGAAAATCAGACTACAACAACACTGACTACAAGTTGCCAAAAAAAAAATTCATTATGTGATCACATCATATTTGTTGGTAGATTAGATTCTATCAACGCATACCCGATACACTACATCAAAACATAAGTTTTCATTTATCCACTTCTCAAAAGTACTTTCACACCAATCACTCTTACTCTCACTCATATCGCTACTAGCACTGGAAAAGAATAGACAAATCAATGAACAATGAAAGTTGATAGCGAAAACGATACAGAGAAGAATGGAAGTATTGCAATCAATATAGTACATACATATATATATTTATTTCACTAGATTTGAGCTCAATCAATCACTTCACAAAGTCGCAAGCAATAAACTTTGATCGAAGTATGATGGAACGTTTTCTGTGCATGGGGATAAGTGATGGAAAAAAATTCCAATCGTTCGACATTCCGTTCCGAGGTTTTTATGAAAAATGGAAGTCTCTGTCATTCTAGTTTTGGTGCTAACCGACACACAATTTCATCGAATTTGAAAGAACGCCACAAAACATATTTATCGATGCTGAAAATAGCACAACATGTAGCTTCATGTACAAATGCTATGTGTGTGTGTGTGTGTGTGTCTTCGTGTGTGCAGCTGATCTGAAAAGCCAAATAGTGCCAAATGAAAAGGTTAAAACCATTCAGCAAATGAATGAAAACAATGTGTTTTGCGGAAGAATGCAAGTGGTAGAGAGCTTTTGTTCCGAATAAAATACGTTTATTGTACGGCAATAAAGTGTTCGAAGCGACTTCTGCTTCTTATTGTTTACAGTGACGATTGTGTGATAGTTTGGCCAACCAAATTACGGAACTTCGAACATAAGCGGTCTCAATATGAATTTTCTCCTTCCATCGAAACCGAAAAACAACAGAGAAAATTACAAAGAAAAACGGAGCAGACACACACAAGAAATGCCATTGAATTGCATGCAACCGAAGAAAACATGCCGATGAAAAAGTGAACATAAGCCACAAGCAATGTTTCTGGCGATACATTTGAAGTCGTTGCTTTCGATTATTTTCCACGATGAGAGAAAGAGGATGAGAAAATAACATATCAAAAAGTATCGCTTATATTCACGTAACTGAACACGATTGGCTTTTCTTCATTCGAAAATTCGAAAGATTTGTTCAAACTAAATTGAAACGGAGCGCTTTTTTTGTTCCCTTGCCACACTATTCGCCTTCTCATCGCCAGACGCTTTGCGCCCGTGTACTGTACTTTTTTTTGTTCGTGTAAATGCCAAAAGGAACGAACGAATACATTTCCCACCGAAAATTCCGAAACCGGAACAACAATGCCATCTCGTACAACCAGAACAAAAATAAATATTTGAAGAAAAGAAAACAATAACGATAAAGAATGTGTGTGTGAGAGAGGGGGGTGGGTGACGTAAAGAATAAGGCAAACAATAATGGAATATAAGGTAAAACATTGTAAATGAACACTTGGGACTTTGTCAGTTCTTTAATTTTTTTTCTTCATCGTCTTACTACTATTGGTTTGCCTGTTTCAATTCAACTGACTTTCATTCTGCTAGCATTTCATGTGCTTCCATCTGATGTGCACATAAATGAAGCACATACACACCCGAATGAGAGGGAAAAAAATTGAATCACAATCGGCTGAAAAGAGGGAAAAAAATGAACTGAAGAGAACTTTTGATGTTTCGTTCTGCTACATTGAAATTTTAGCTCGGTAAACCGATAAACCGAGTCGAGTTTGGGACCGGCGACAGCAGTGAAAAAGAGATCGAATTGACAACCATTGAAATTGTGTTTGAAAATCATACCAAAAAGTAAAATATATATATATCAAACACTCACATCGAAATACCCACCCACCCGAATCATATCAAGATGAAGACAAGTGCGAGGTAAACGGAAACCTTTAACGCGTTGTAACACCAATGTAAATTCAGTGTAAATTGCTTATTGTGCAAAGAGTAGCACCATCACCATTACCATCGACCATAGTCGTTGTCGTGTCAGGCAATTCAGTACTTGGTTTTTATTTTCGAATCACATTTCGGTTGTGCTTTCGTTTCCAAACAATGGCGTATACATTTTTTGCGGAGCATTATTCAAGATTTCTTTAACTGGGATTTTTACATTTTGAATCGGCATCATTGTTATTCTCTTGGCTCTCACGAATCAAACTAGATGCGGCATGCTTTATTTTCTTTTATTGATCATTGGTTTATACTTCATTGAAGAATTTGTTTCAACAGCAATTTGCATTGTGTGCAGGAAAAAAAACAACAGCACATCAACAGAAACAGAGACAACACACACACACACACGCATTGTGAATATTTACGCTTGTTCGATTCGTTTTTATTGCATTTTTAATGTTTAAATTCAACCACTTTTTTGTGTGTGCCTTTTATCTCACCTGTTTGTGATATGTTACATTTTTTATTCAGCGCCACCAAACAAAAGCCGTGACAATATACGTAACGGCACTGATTTTTCGATGGTTCTTTTTTCTGTTCTTGATTCGTTGTATTACAATTTTTTGATAAAATAAACGGAGATGAAGTGAAAAACAGTACAATGGTTTCATTTTTCAGCGACACTTTCAAACTAGAATTGTTCAAATACGCACAAACATACGCAGTACAATCGTATTGTTTTCAAATTTTTCGACAAAATAAACGAATGTGTGTGCGTGCGGTGTATGTGTTTTGTTATACGGATTGTTGACGTGACGACAATTGTATTGTATGAATTTACTCCAAGGTGTTTTACGCAAAAAGAATGACAAATGACACGGCACTTGAATTACAAAACTTGATATAGAAACGTGTCATTCTCACACATTCTCAATGCGATAGAGCGAACGCTCGTGTACACACCACATCGCATATGCTAATTTCCGTTCTCCCTTCGTATCTCTTACATTGCCTTTTATGGGTGCTTGCTTTTTTAAGAAGACGATGATGGCAAATCATATCAAATGAACAATATATTTAAACTGTATCAGCCAAAGTTGTTTGCTTTGCTTTGCATAGTTTTGAACGATTTTGGTTTTTATCTTGATTGACACTTTTCCGACTCTTCTCGGGTTTCTTCTTAAAGGGTACGCTTTCGTTATTCGAAACCACTTTTTTCGGTATCACTTTTGAAGAGGCGTAAATGTAATCACAAATCGCATCGAAACAACCGAAACAGAGAAAATTGCCTAGAATATGTTGTCACACACAGAGAGAGATATATGTGCACACGCTATGTACTCTGGGTATGTTCATTTGATTATCTGTTTGCAATTCACTCAAAAGTTTTACGATTACGCGCTCTGCAAAGCAAACGATACGTGCAATAAATTTCTACACCGTTAAAATACTCACTTAGCAAAACTTGCAAAGTTGTACTATTTTTTGTGCCGCTTAAGTTTTGCTACTTTCGGACGGAATCGTCGTAAAGTTTTATAGACAACGCAATGCGTACTTTACATTTTATTGGGCAACCGTGAAATGACACCGAATCGGACGAATTTCGATGAAAGACAGATTTTATGCACTTTTCATTATATTCCGGACAAAAGGTTGAGCTCTATTTGACAATTGCGCTATTTACTTCACCCAGCTCAACTTTGCTTGGAAAATAATTAAAAGTGAAAATTTACCTTTGCATTCAAAAGTGACCTGCTGCCCTATTTTATTATTAAATTCCGTTTGATCGAGAACGAAATCAAAACCTGAAATGTTCAATCTCTCTCTCTCTCTCTCTATCTCTCTCTCTTAGTAGGGCAATCTTGTTTAAAACTTTTATCGTTTGCTCCAATTGTTCGAAGTAACTCACATTTTTTGGCTGATTGTTTTGTTCTCATCATACTTCTGCTTTTGACTGCATTATGTTTGAAGTTCAAACCTTTGAATTGTTTTTTTTTAATACTATTCGCCAAGTGTGAAATGCGTGTTTTGTCATAAATAATGGGTTTTTATTTTTCATGTTATCGCCAAGAAAATGGGTGCATTTCTCAAATGATTCCATTACAATTTTGAAATGAAAAGTAAATTGTGTGCTTTTTTTTAAAATGGAAATCAATGAAAAACACTGCTCGAACACGTGCATCTCCTTCAACGGTTGAATGTGTGATTTTGATCACACACTTATAATATTTTGATAACGGGTTCGGGTACAATCATATCGCATAAGACAAACGTTCAAAATATGAATTTTCTCTTTCTTAAAATCAAACCATTTTCCCCATCATAGCCCAACTCAATGTTCGTGTGTCTTTTTTTTCATTCTATGATTTAATTTTAATTCAAATTTTTCTCGTAGGTCAAAAAGTATCGGCGACGACGGAAAGAGTAGAATTCAAGTGTCCGTCTGGTTATGGCAATGGAAATTATGCAGATCCCGGTAAGTTTGCTTGCATTCAGTCAATACTGTTTATGTTGAATTTAATGGCGAATATTTTTTTTACCCTACTTTTTTTGCACCAGCTACGTGTCGTCGATTTTATCAGGTGAGTGTTGTTTTTTTCTGTACCTCAGATTGTCAAATGTATTTGCGTGTGTCATGAAATGTTAAACTGCTCAGACAAACCCAAAACTCATTTCGGTTTGCATTTGTTGTTTTACTCACTCTCTCTTACCCCTGAGGAATTGGACTTGAAATTAAAATGCTTTTTACTTGGTCTTTGTTACGGCCTCGCATGACAGAATTGGGATGAGAGCATTTCCGAATAAATCTCCATCTGCCTCGCTGCATACGGTTTTCTTTCGGTTATTATCTCTGACACGAAGAAGCCGACGACAGCGGTGAAAAAACAATTGTGATTTCAATTTACAAAGCAAAAATATGTATTATTCATGAAACAATATTTTCAAAGTTCAAATGTTTCATCATCATCAGAATTATCTTGCACGTATATGAAGCAAGCAATGTGTACGCATCAGAAAAATGTCACAAAAGAAAGGTTATAAATAAAAGAGAAGCAAAAAAAAGCGAGAAAAATTTCCATTTTAAAATTGCTTTAATAATTTTTTCGGGTGATTTTTTTTCGTGTTCGTTTGGAGTATACGTAAAAAGAATGGAATCGAGTTTTTCATTTCATTTATGAAGTTAAAGCATTTTCTATTGTCCAAGTCCATTGAATGTGACAAAACAATAAAAGAAATCCAAACTTAATATTCGTCAGTTCGTTTTTTATATTTGTTTGCATATTATAATCGACACTACAATGCACTTCATTCAAATGGTTGGTTTTTTTTTCGGGCAAGTTTTCACAACGATGAAATTTCATTTCCCGTGTGTTTGTCTGTCTTGAAAACGCATCGACCGTAAACACCATAATCAAAGGTGATGAAATGAATGTGGTCGTTTTTTGCGGTGTGCATTCATTGAATCAACAAGAATTCAAGTTGTAGTGACTTTTGATTAGCTGATTTACATTTTCATTCACCTTTTGTAAAAGAATTGAATTTGGTTTTTATTTTTATTCAAATTGGTAATATCTTTTAAAACTTTGTGTGTATATTTTTCTTTTCATTTTCCGGTTTTGATTCGATTTCGACGGAAATATAGTGTGTTGACGGATATCCCTATCTGAATAATTGTCCATCTGGATTGCATTTTGATGACGCTGCCAAGTATTGTACATTCAAAAATGAAGCCCGATGCGGACCATTAGCCACAAGTAAGTTCAATCAAGTTTTATAAATAACTTATATATTTTGATAGATTTTCAATGCTGTTCGTCAATCGTTTTTTTTTTTTTTTTTTTTTTTTAAAATATTTTAAAAAATTTTTTTTTTTTTTTTTTTTTTTTTGAAAAGAATTCAACAACTTTTGATTTTTCTTGATAAATTCATTATTATTTGAAAGTAATGTATAGCATGTCACAATTCACAGTATGACATTCTTGCGGAATCGTTTGTGATTTCTTTAATATACAGATATTTAAGCTTCCCAGTTCATATAACGTTGAATAGATTGAAATAAAAGTTTTCCTCCTCGTTGATTCTTTTATTCAAACCAAACGTCAATACCAATTGAAAATGTATTTCCATAGAATGAAAATTGAGAACATTCATTTGAACATCAAAAAGGACGATCAAACTGAAATGACAGCATCACTATAATATGTAAAACGATAAATTGTTATTGAGGCGATGTCATTTTTTCATAGAAACTACTTAGAAGACTATAGTTAATTCTCCTACGTAATGCGACACACATTTTGTGTGCGTGTATAATCTGGCATTTAAATACACACACGGGAATAATGTATAGATTATTAGTATAAATGATTTTTTTTCTTAAATCTATACAAAAGTTTAGATATCTCAACAAAAATTTATTTTTTATTAAAAAAATATTTTCTCAATGTCAATAAATATTGCGATACATATTTATCAATGAGTGCCAAAATACATCATTTAATACAGCCTTTTCTCTTCACTCGAAAGAACAACAACAATTACATGGCTACACTCGAACGGCGACTATAGAGGATGCGACCACTACTTATGCAAACAACGTATCTTGTTACATTGGAACAGCAACTATATAGAAGTCAACTACTACACATGCATCACTTCAACTGGCGAGTCAGTGGAAGCATGTAAGACACAAACGACAACGTTGTTTGCATAAGTAGTGGTTGCATTCTCTATAGTCGCCGTTCGAGTGTAGCCATGTAATTGTTGTTGTTCTTTCGTGTGAAGAGAAAAGGCTGTATTAAATGGTGTATTTTGGCGCTCGTTGATAAATATGTATCGCAATATTTATTGACATTGAGAAAATATTTTTTTAATAAAAAATAAATTTTTGTTGAGATATCTAAACTTTTGTATAGATTTAAGAAAAAAAATCATTTCTACTAATAATCTATACATTATTCCCGTGTGTGTAGGTTTGATTCGTTTCCATATAAGTGCTCCTATTTTCTGAGGGTCTCGATTACCAACCTCCCGCCTTTAAAAATTCAAAAAAAGTGACCTTTCAAGCACAGAGATGATGACATTTTTGCTCTTCCCCTTCTTCCGTAAGCATTTTTATACTAGATAGAATAGACTTTTGGGACATTTTTTCGATTTACTGATTTTTTTGGGGAATAATCTACTCCCCGAGCATCAATTGTGATCCGAGTGAGATCTCCCTCTGCACCATCTTCGGCGTGCACAACTATGTTCGTTTCAAAGACAGTCATAAGATGATTTCCAGGTAAATTACACACCGATCAAAAGAACAATTTGCGATTGCGTACGAGAAAAGCCATTAGCATTTTTATTAGGAAAGCTTTTGTTCGGATGGGAGCATTAAGGAGCATTGTATATTGCTAAGTTGTTGAGTTTTTCATATTTATTCATATGAATAATAATAAAATCGGTGAAATTGTTGAGTGCAATCAGTCATTTCTCGTTGCAAATGAAATTATCATTTCCGAGATAAAATTGCATCAAATCAGTACGATGGTACTTGTGCAAGATCATCTGCTGCAATTTATTTCGCTTCAAAATAAACATTGTGTGGAAAAAATACATAAAACAACTCAAAAGAAAGAAATCGAGCATTTAACTAGGGCAAGGATTGTGCCATTCGGTTTAAATCGAATAATAGAATTCATTTCAATTGAACATGTTTGAATGAGTTTTCTTCATTTTTCAAACTAAAGCACACTGCACACAGCAACCGAAATGTGGATATTAGTTGAAATATGGTAGAGCAGTAGTCTAGTGAAAAGAATCAAATATTGAATGGAAGAGAAAAGTAGCACACTTTAGACGATTTTCCGGAGAAAATGCATAAATAATGAATTATTTAGAATTCCATTAAACTTTTTTTTCAAGTACGTCCAAACAAAATAAAAACTATTTCAACAGAGTGAGAGAGAGAGAAAGGGAAAAACAAACACGGCACAGCCATAAATTGTGCATGTACTTCTTCTCAATGCCACTTGCACACTTCTTATTTATATTCATCGTTTTACGAATTATAATTCATCTCCTTGTTTACTGCATTTTTTTAACAATTATGTACGCGGTTTTTAAATCGCGCGTTATTTTTTCTCTCCTGCCCACAAATTACTCATGTAATGGACATAAATGCACATGCAATGATTTAATGAGCATTTATAAAATTAGCGAGTGCAGTTTTCAAGCACTTTTTGTGCAATAAATTAACAAGGTGCGGTTGATGTTGCCTTTTGCAAGTCAATTGATGTTTCATGGTGTCTGTACGCTCTCAAGCCCACGTTGAATATTGAAAAAAAAAAACAACAAGAATGGAACAAAAAGAACAAAACCAAACTAAAACAAACTATTGTGTGCTAAAGCAGGAATCGCATTTCAAGCGAGACAGGTATCGTCTCGGTTTGTTGTTCAATTCAAAACAACATATTTCATTGAATAAAAGTTTTCACTTTGATTTATATTAAAGTTTTGTGCTATGCAAACTGCACCCAGAAGCAACCAGAAAACTTTTGAATTTTGACATGAAGTTTTGATAAATCAGGCATGTTTGCATGGTATTCGATATCGTTTTAAAGGTAATTTCAGCTTGGCGAATTAATAATAAACAATACCACATCGCACATCAGTATATTGCTACTAGGCAAAAATCACATTCCTTGTTATTGCCAAGAATTCAGCATTGAATATCTTTACACGCGCTTCTCGTCTCGGCTCGTCTCTTTTCGCACAAATGGCAAAGAATTCCAAAGCTGATGCAAAACTGAAAGTATCAATAAGTTGGAAAACTTTAAAATTTATGACATTTGAATGCAATTTTGATATTGTTATTCACGTCACTGGACTGGAAATCATCTTTTATATCTCGAGAAAGAAAGAACCATCGATTTTTCATCTCTTGGACTTGCCAACTCTGTGTCATTCTTTCTCGCTCTCTGACGTTCGTTCTCTGTCTCTCACTTTCACACACCTTGATTTTGTTGGAGGTGCTCACGATAGGCGACACATTATTGCAATATGTTGCATCTGAAGAAAAAAAATAGTCGACCAGGCAAAATGGTGAACGGTGAAACTGAAAGCAAATCAAACTATAAAGTGCCATATACCTTTGGTAAAAATGGTGACACTATTCAAAGTCTTCATAGCCATGTTAGTTTCTTTCTATATGTGGCTGTTCAAAATGTGTCACTCACAAGATGCTTCGGATACGAGACGAAGGTGAACAAATTCTAATTTCGGGCTAAATTTGTAAAATGAAAAATGGATATAAATGCAGAGAATGTTTACGTTTACATTTCCGAAAAAGATCGCTTTTTTGTGGTCGTTGAATTTCAGTGAAAAAAATATTTGAAAGTGAGTGTAACTTAAATTATGAAAGGGTGTGACTGGAAGCGTGAACCAGGACATAAATTCAAGCAAATAATGAAATTACAACAGCTGAATGGATTGAGATGAGAGAAAAAAGCAACAGCACCGCCATCAGCAGCATTTGAATCGGTTAAACGGGAAATAACAAACATATGAAAATGCAGAGAGCTTGTGATTCAGTCTGATTTTCGATTCACAACAACAAATATTCTATCAACTGATGGCCAAAGCAGTGAAACCAAATCGAAAATGGATAGTAAATAAAGTTATCACGTACGTTTCCTAACTGGGTGTGCTGCTTCGATGCTCGACAGTGGTTTTTGGTTTATTCGACCATTTCTCTTCCTCTCTCTCTCTCTCTCATTTTTGTCCGTCCATTTCGATTTCCATTTCGTCTTTTTAAACCATTGTTTTCTTTTCGCTCGACATTCACACACATAAATACATAGTGGATCACATATTCACAACGGTTCAAATACAGAATGATAGAAAAATATAATTTACATAACATGACTTATATGTTGATGTTGTGTTTTTTTTCGTCCAATTTGACTTCGTCGAACAACTGGCAGAGAATTGGAGAAGCGTCAGAAGCATGCACTCATTTATTTTTCGTTTTTCGTTCAACTTTATATGCGAATAAATGTAAACAGGATTTGTGTTGTGTGACACATTTTACGTTTTGTCGCTGGCCATGGTTCGATTTCATTCTTGGGGTGGCTAGTGTTCATTTTTTCATATATGCTGCTCTTCATGGTTTGCATTCGTTTACGCAGAGATACAACATGTCTTCATAAAATTCGATTCCATTCGAATTCGTAGTTGCCGTACTTATTTTTCACAATTTGAGATTTTCGTTTTGTAGCGTGCGCGCAGTGCGCCCTCTTCACTCAGTGTATCTGTGCGGGCATTGGGTCATCTATTTCGATTTATGATACTTCAATATATGGAGATATATAAAATACACGTACGATAATATACGATGTTGTATCTCTGCCACTGGAAAATTGTGTGCGAAAAGTACTGATGCAATTTTTCGGACACGAGCGGGCGAGAGAGAGAGAAGGAAGAAAGAGAAAAATGCCAAAAACGAACCACAAACAAAGCAAACGACAGAATGAAATACGAATAAGATGAAGATGGAAAAAAGCATTCCGATGACGATGAACGAAAAAAAAAGATCCTAAAAATGTGAACGGAAAATAAATTGTAAAAATAAATAAGGAATGAATAGCGAAATATGTGATGGCATATTTGAGTTGGGATCTTCATTACATGGAACGAAGCACAACACAATCCAATGGCTCATATTTGTCGTGCTTCGTTCCATTTCTGGCATCGCATCCCCGGGTACTAT